TATAATGAGATACATATGGTAGGTTATGACCTATAATATATATAAACAAGCCACAAGTTAAAACATCCATTAATGGCATACCTTAAAGCCACAAACTAGGGACCAGGAAGTAAAGAAGTGTTCCCTGTTCTCTACTGACGTGATTAGAAGTGTGGCCGGGCCTCGGCAAGGCCTTGATTTGACTTGAAAATTTGACGTTACACTGACCCTTAAATCCTCCACTCAAACCAACTAGTCCACAGATCCAACATAATGAATAGTTACACTGACAAGTATTTTATCAGGTACTCAAACTAACCTTTGAAGGAGTTGCCTTTAATGTAATGTTGAAGAGACCTTAATTTAGGTGTGCAGCAAGCAACTAATTCTTGTTTAAGGGGGATTCGGGTGTGATGGCCTTGCAGCATGTTGTCTTCTCCGGCCGGCGATGTGGAGACCGCAGGAACCCTGATGTCTACGTGCGCATATCGTCCTTCAGGGAATGGATTACATGGAAGGCAAATTAGATTGAATGGCAATGTTTCAATATGCTTGATTGGGATGTACTTTTTAAAACAAACCTTTTTAAGATATACAAACATGTGGTGCTGTGCTGTTTAATATCTGCTTAATTGCAGCATTGCAGTGCTGCGGTTGTTGAAATGAGGTGATAAATTATGTTTTTGTCACCCCCACTTCTCATCCTTTGTTTTTGTTATGCAGCATACATTCAAATACATCCAGCTAAATGATTTTCATTCGGAAGTTTCAAAAGTATACTGAGCTCAATGTGATGAAAAAATGAAAAATGTAGCATTTTCTGGTTGTTTTGAAAAATGTGTCACCACCATAAAACCATGAATTCTGTGATTCCAGTTTTGGAGAATAATGTATTTTATGGGTCAAAGTTATATTTGTGTTTGCATATTTGGATGGGTAGTTTCATTCTTGCAGCATCAATGTAATTGTTTCACTTAGTAATAATAAGGATGGTTGGGCAGCTTAGGCGTGGCATTCAGTTGAACTACAAGTAAAGCCTGAGTGGATGCAGTCTGTTTAGTTGACCGGGTGATATCATGTGCATTTACAACCTGTAACTTTACGCTTCTATCGGAATATGCAAAACAATCTTAATATAGGTTGAGGTGATAGTGGTGCATGGTGTAGAAGTTGTGCAGAGGGGGGTGTATTTCAAAGACATTGAAATACATGTTTTCTGTGAGGTTGGACCAGTATGAGTACCTCGCCATGAAACACCAGTGAAGGCAGGTGCCCAGCTCATGTTCCCAATCGTTTGCCTTAACTCGTAGGTGAGTTGTGAATGTGATGAGTCCATCGGTCCTGTAGATTTATGAGGTCCATGGTACTGATGTGCATTCATTTCAACATCATTTTAAAGTCTGGTTATCACCCACCTGCAAGTGCTTATTTGAAACTGTGCTTGCAGGTAAAATATGAAGTAGAAATATGTGTTTCTTGTGACTGAATTTGAATCATTTATCGAATTGAATTGCTCACCTTCAATAAAAAATAAATAATAATTGCATTAAAAAACTGAATCTAATCTAAATGTTTCTGTTGTGTACCAAATCACGAGAGCAAATTCCTTGTATGTGAAAACCTACTTGGCAATAAACCTGAATCTGATCTGCATAATTTGCATTTGCAAATAAATTACATACATCTGCACAACAACCATAATGCAATGCAAATTACACTAACTGTAAAGATGTTGAGTTTTATTGAGCATTTTGTGGTAATAAACTACAACAAAGGCAAACCGTGTACAGTAATTGGTTTAAAAAGATTTATATTCCCCATGGTGTGTGTCATTAATTGCACTTTTTGTATGATATATTTGTTTTTATCCTGCACTGCTGTTTTCATGTCCTTGCTGCTTTGACTTCCATGTTCAAGACAAATTTCCCTTCAAGGACAATAAAGTTTATTTGATCTAATCTAATCTTTTTCTCGGGAACAAGCACGCTGGTGGAGGGGGAGTATTCAGAAATATCTTTAATCGCGATCAGTAGCCTGACACTATGACAGCACACTATTTATTTTACTATGAACTCGCTATAAAACCAATCTTGTGTAACCGGTGGTTAAGAGCTGATGGCGTTTTGACTTTCAACACTTGTCCTTGGCTGCATGGCTTTAACTGCAACCGCCCATTTACCGGCACATCTGCACAATTTTAACACCCTGTGTTTTATCCACTCACCCCTCTGGAGATCAGTATTATAATCTGACACCGGGTTTATTCTGTGAGGCTAAATTGTGCCGGCAATCATATTACCCTTACAGGACACCACTGAATTATACATATACATGAAAATAATGAATTCAACAGCCCTGCCAACATTCATTATCATGATTTTCTTATTCCAAATAGACAAGCAAAGTGATGACTCCTGTTGAGGAACACCTTTTGAATGAATATTTCAAAATGAGTGCTTAATTTGATTGGATAGTATCAGTGAAATTGGCCATCAATATCAAACTGACATAAAAACAAACAATGTATAGACTCATACAAAAACAATCCATCTCTCGGATTCTACCAATTACAAGGCTTCAGTGCTTTGAGCTAAATGCTAACTTCAGCATGCTAACTGTTGATTTAGCAGATGTGTTTATCGTGAGTTTGTCTTAGTTTGGTGTGGAATGTCATTTTTTGCAGGTATTGATCAATATCAGGTCATTGTCAAAGTCGTTTATCCAAAATTTCATATTCATCCAATAACATGAGTTGTTGTGGGATCATTTTACATCCCTCGAGCCAAGTGACACTAGAATGCTACAACAGAAGTGATATTGCATAGTGTATAGTTCACCAGGCTTCACTTTTACCAAATGACATCACTTACGGTAAACTGGGGAGAATTAAGTTTCTTCGCTCGTGTCTCATAATTGTTTTGTTAAAGAGATCTTTGCAGTCACTGTTGTTCCCCTGGAGGGATGGGAAAACAGATTGGCAACAAGTGAGATCACTGAGTGATGATAAAAGCCCCAGCTGAGCCGGCTGTAACAGAGAGTGGAGATGGCACTGACTGCGGCAGCTCTTCTCATCTGCTCCATTTTGGAGGGCCCCGCTGGTCACAGTGAACCCTCTGAGGAAAAAGCACTTATGTTCAAACTGGAAATTCTATATCTCCCAACTGCTTTCCAAGCCGGGTCTCTCCACAGCTCACACATGCTTTTATTCAAATAAAGCTTAATGAATATTAATCCGCCCATGTGAGCCACAAATCTATAGTTACGAAGGCATATGTTGAAAACTGATGAGAACCTGAACTTTCCGTACGGTTAATTTCCAATCTAGTTAACTGCTTCAAAGGGAGGAATAAAGGTGAGTGTCTGCAGAGTGCCACCTCCGTGCTGCTGTTCCCAACTTAATCCACAGAAATGATAAAAGGCTAGTTCGAAAAAATTACGAAACACGCATTCCAGTTTTAATAAGCACTTTTGCTTTGGTGGAAATAATCTCAGATGCAGAATCTTAACACCTAGACAACAGAACTGTGTGCATGACACCTAGAAGTAAGTGAGGATGCTTTAAGTGAATCAACACTGTAAAACTGAGGACAAATATTGTTAAATTAAGCCCTACAGACCCATCCCAGATGTTCCCTCTTTCACACAATTGGACAGATTTTCGTACATCTATTATCATGAGTAAATGATACATAAATCACACAACCCCAACTGGATGAAATGTGCGAAGTATGATGATACCAAAGAGGACAAAAGGCAAAAAACATATTTACAAAAAACAGCTCGCAGAGCAATACTGTGGCACAAATGAATTAGGTAATGCAAGCCTGGTGTTTCTTTAAGCATATGATGCAAAATCCCTGCAGTAACTAAAACCATCATCAAAGCCATATTCACAGCCGCATAGCTGATGTTTTTATGCAAGGTCAGGACGTCGCTCTGCAGACTGTAGTGCTCTTCACTACTGAGGACGCCCAAGTCATGTCTTTCTTTCTGTGAATAATTTAATTTTCTCTGCAGGAGAGTTTATAGTTGAAAGTTACACACAGTGTTTTTTTTAAGCATTTCTATTTCTTTAGGCCAACAAAAGAAATATATATATATATATATATATATATATATACTATTTCCCCTTCAGAGTAGTATAACTGGCAGTGTGGAGAGGCCTTGCAATAGCAATTAGACCTTTAAGTAGGGAAATAAAATCTATAGAAATACAATCAAGCAGGTTAAAATAATAAATACATTTGTTTCTTTTAATCACTTTTCATTTTTCTTCTGAGGGGGTGGAGTGCATAACCTCAGCATTTCTTAAAAAAAAACTCTTAGCTGAAAAGGAAATAAAAATGTTTTTTGGAGGGAATACAGTGCTACACTCATCTTACTGTTTCACTGTTTTGGACAAGGATTAAAGCATAAGATTCAACACCAGACAAAGTCTAACCCGACTGGGATGTTGTTGCTGACACGCTAGAAATATCGGCAGAGCAAGCATGTTGTGTGGACCTACTTAGAATTACACAGAGGATTTCCCTCAGTGCAGAGTACTGTCTTACCACCACTCATCACTCCATGTGTGGGTGAGTCCCACTAGGACTTTAACTGGTTTCCAGCAAATAGGTTACAATTCATAGGTGTGTGAGGAGATGTCTGCTTGACTTATTACACAGCTTCAAATGCCCGAGGCTAATAGACTTTTCATGAACTGGAGCCGGCCCACTGTGCTATTAGGACAGTGTAAATTTAGCATCACAGTTCTCACTGTCTAGGAGTACGAGAGAAACATCTTCTGAATCACAGTGTGTCTTTCACAAACTGACAGTAATGCGTTTTTTTCCACATTAACATTTCAAATTTTCATTAGTTCAGTGTAATTAATATCAAGGCTTTCATAATCCAGGGAACAAGGACCAACTGTAACGCCCCGGGGATCAATGTAGTATTTGTGATTCTGATCCTCAGGTTTTCTGAAGCACAGTGAGAAAGCAGCCACCTCCTTTTATTTTAGTGAGAATGAAGCATCATAGCTGCAAATTCCTTTTATTGAGATGACAAACAGCCAGGAGACAGGTTCAATTCTTCAACCCAAGCTCAAGGTCTCTGAAAGACCTTTCATAATGTTTAGCAACTCATTGGGTCTGCCAAATAATTATCTAAGACAATTCTTAGTTTTGTGAAAAATAAATTGTGAAATTGTGATGTTGATAAAACTAATTTCAACCTCATACCTCAGGATATCAGCTAATGTTTTACGAGCAATTATGTCTTTGAAATGTTGCTCCTTTTTAGTTCCTGCAACTCTCAAAGAGAGCCTAAAGAAACAGATGGTCTAAGGCCAAAGAAATGTAATGAGGGTTAGGGTGAGTCTAAAGTGAAGGTAAGACGTTTATCTGCCCGAGCAGCAGTTGGACCCATTTAAAGGCTACATGTTGGGAGTAATTACAAACCTTCAGCATACTTTAGAGCGCTTTAATGCCTTTTAGCTGCACTAAACAGTCTGTGTTTCACCATCTTAGTCGTAGCCTCAATGAACCTTTATATTTATACATTACTGGTTTAAACCAAATCCTATAATAAGCCTCCAATGAAATAGAAAAGCAAAAAACAATTCAATCTCAATTCTATACTTTTATGCTAAAATAGAGCACATTGTACAGCATTAGTGACCCTTTCTTTTAAAGATACAGTATCTCCCAGAGAAGCAGCTTCTCCTTTGTAAGGTTCAGATTATTCATATGATATAAATATCCACATATTATATCCATGTTTCCAAAATAACATTAACCTCAACGTGAATCTCAGCCATGAAGACACTCGTAGGCACACGCTCGCACGGTCCCTCTTAACAGTTCCACATCAACAATACAAAAACAATTATATCTGTGAAGGACAATGTTTCAGTTCCATGACTCCATAATACACACACACACACACACACACACACACACACACACACACACATACAGGCAAGTTGTGTGCTTAAAATGATTATAACTCCGTCTTAGCGTTGTCATTAAGTCCATCCGAGGCTTTTGCCCTCAAGTCATCCTTAAGCCATTTGTTGTAAACAGCAATGGGGTCGATGTTCCAGTGTTTATGGAAAGAGATGGGCACCTGGTGTGCCAAGAAGTCTCTGGCATAGTCCTCTGGGCGTGCCTGAAAGGTAAGATTAAGTACAGTCATTTATTTGGAAGCAGCCACAAGAGACTGCGCGCAAGTGCTGCAGAGAGCAACAGTGAAGGCGTGAAGGTATACGTTTATGTTGAAAACTGAGCAACTGAAACTATCGTGTGTTTAGAGATGAAATTCAACCATACACGAGTAACCCTATTAATAAGTTGTAACAATAGGCCCCTTTTCACGGCAGCCAGTTTGACAGGTCACTGCAGGGTAAACACGGGTGTAATCAATAACATTAATTACGGCCGTCTTCCATTTAGGCTCTGGTTTTTATCCACGTTGGCTCACTGCAATGGCTGTGACACACAAATTAGAAGGGGACCATAATTAATTTGATCAGTCACACCTGAGTTTACCCTGCTATGACATGTTAAAATGGCTGCTGTGAAAGGGGCCTAAAATTCAATGTATTGATTTGTCAACATATTAGAAATCTGGTATCTTAATAGAAGCCCTTCACACTCACAGTGCACTCACACAGGTGATTTCTCTCATCTCTGCTTATTAGCACTCCAAGCCAGACCGTGTGAGTGTGTATTTCAATCAATTTTCTTACAGAACTCATGCTGACTCGTCATAGAAGGAAAAGCTCAAGTGTGGTTAATAATAAAATTAATGATGGATGATTTCCTTTGAGCTGCTTCAGTTTCAGGGTCTTGGTTTTGTGCATGCTGGTTCATTGTGACACTGCCATGGCAAACTGGGACACTTGAATAGAGCAGAGCCGTTGTTGATGTTGTGAGTAACATGTGTGCTTTTCCTGCTGTGATGAAGTAAAAATGTCTGCTTTTATTTTTCTAAAAAGCTCAGATACATCCGACTTAAGAACATGTGCTGAAAGGGTTACCATATGGATGCCCATTCAGATCCATCATTCAAAGTAATTACAACCATATTAATTGATATAGTGCTATGATATCATCACACAGCGTTTTTAACCTTCACAAAACCAATCCTGCAACCATCTTGAGTCGTCCAATGATGTGCATAGTAGCAAGTTATACCCTCGGGAATCTTTCCCATCTTTACCATCCATCCCGTGTGACGTGAATGTGACATGATGCTGCAATTACATTGTGTCAGCAGAAGGGTTAGAGCTGGAAAATCCTCACGTACCTGTAAGCTTTGCAGTCATTTTTCATTTTGTTTGCCAGATGGGAGATACGGTGACTGTCAGGAATTCACGATATCTCCAAGGTAAAATTACAAGTACCGCAAAGCGGTCTAAGATACGACTTAAACGCTGCATAAGCAGGGGTCGAATCAGCTGGAAGAACTGAAAACACCTGTGAGGGCTCCTGAATATCAGATACCAGCCAGTTTTGTTGTCGACTACCAGTAAGATAGAGGTGTCTGTCTGTCTCAGGATGATGAGTCCGTAAAAGCTGTGATGAAATCTGACTTTCTCTGCAGAACATTCGTTTAAAGGCAGCACGAATCTCACTGCAAAATGTCCCCTTGAACTGAACAGGCACTGAAGGGAAGATGATTTGTCACCGAGCTAAAGAAAATTATTTCCAGTAAATATTTGGATTGTATTTCATAAAAAAAAAAAATAAGCCATATCAATCCCACCAACAGTGGTACAAATACACACAGACGGAGACACGAATGAATATATTGTAAGAGTGTGACGACAACCTGGTGGAAGAGTGGACTGTGTGTGACGGGAAGTCCGACGGCATTGAGGCACATTCCCAGCACCATGTCATCCGGCGCGTCATTGCTGTAGCACTTGCAGCCGCTGTCAAGAAGTCGGACCACAGCCTCCCTGCTGAACACCATACTGCAGCAGCACAGAGACGGACATCACCAATGTTAAACTAGATACATGGGACTGATGATTATTAGCTGCACTGTAAATGATCACTTTGGCAGCAAATGTTGGAAATGACCAGAAAATAACAAAGTATATCTTTCAGCTGTCATCGTGTTCAGCATGTTTATTTCATCCAGTCACAGAGGACGACAGTGTAAGTGAGTGAAACTGAAAATCAAGCCGAGAGGGAGAGATGGTTTTTCTGTGAATCGGCTCTGCACAACAATGATGTGACATCTCTTTGGAAAGAAAGGCAATTACACTTGAAAAACAAATCTTGGGCTGCCAAAAAAATATCACTCATCTCTCCACTCATAACAGTTATTAGAAGATATCACTTTTGAGAAAACTGGCAGTTGCAGTGCTGTAAATTGTCACAGAGACTGAAGTGTCCGTAAATAGTTTCTCACTCACGGCCCAAGATGTGTCGGTTGCACAGCTTCCCTCCAGCACTGACAGCTGACATGTAACCTGTGCTTATTGCCCACTTCTTCTTACAGGCAATAACAAAATATCGGCCCTTTGGAATTATTATTTTAGTCCTATATGTTGTCTTGCAGTAACCAACCGTTTGTATAGTGTAGTGTGAATATTAAGCATCGGCTCCCTGTCTTGTCTTATCAACCGTTTGCTTTATTTTGCGGTGATTCATTCCATATTGTTATTGAGCATCTTTTATGCAGCCTGCAAACCACGATGTCCCTTAAGGGAGCAACACACTTTTAAACTGAACTGAAACGGTTTATCAGTAAATTACAGATTACGGGTTTTCCATTACATATTTTACAGTGCCTCCGCTGCCTCTGTATCTTTCATCATTATTCCCCCGAGCACCTGAGCGGAGATACTCACCCTCCACCTCCCGTGATGTAGCTGTAGCCGCCTTGGCTCAGGCCGTAGCCGTACCTCTCCCCTAGACACACTGGTTCAGAGGGGTTGTAACAGCTCAGCAAGACGTGTAGTCGGGAGAGGCTAAAGGAAGCACAGATCAAACTCATCCCCCGCTCATATTCATTATACACAAATGCCCGCGCCGTACACACACATATGAAACCGTCCATTTAGAAGGTGAAAGAACTGCTGTCCCTCATGCACCATTACACATCCAGGGGCTTCCACATGAGGAGGCAACCTGACAGATATATAGCCGGACTTCAATTTATGCACTGAGCTTTTTAGATGTTCAACAAGATGGTAATATCTCTGGAACTCATTTTCCCAAAATGACTTCATTCGGGGCGTTTCTCTCGTTCACTGTGCAAACCTTTTCATGGCTGTGAGACAGAATCTGTTACAAAATGTATGAGTAAATGTCACTCAAACTCAGAGAAAAATGAAAGCATGGCATTTAAAGAATGAGACGCTGTGTGTCCCAGTTGAAAAAAAAAAGAAAAGGTGAAGAAACACCAGGTTGAAAACTCATTTCCAGATGATGAAAATATACCTGATAAGTGTGTCATCATCCACGACAAGGAGCCACTTGGTGTCCGGGACAGCGCCGCTTAGAAATCTTTGAAGGATGGCAAAAGTTTTCCCGCAGTGGCCTGCAAAAAGAGACATGCTATCAATACACTGGCCTGTACGACTTAATCACATATTGACCAGGTGCTGTAATCTGGTTTACAAAGATAAATCACCCTGTCATGGTAAGAAAAAACACACTTGGCATAAGCAGGTATTTACATGCGCACACACACGCACAAATACATACGGAGGACAACAGCTCTACCACAAAAAGAAACCGGTAGTCGTAAATTACGCTAATGCTAAAGGATTTGAAAGCTAACCAACTGTCACAATTACTAACTAAGAAAACAGCAACATTATACTGAGAAGACATTACATAAGACAACAGCTTTGATGCCTGATGAGAATAAAAACCCATTAGATGTGGCTGTTAGGGTTTCAAACAATATGAAAACCATTGCAACAATGTGTTAATTAGACTTTCATCCTCTTGAAAGGAGCCTTTGAGGAGGCGATACAAATGAGCGCGAGCGACTACGGAGCCCAAACCTAATAAGGATGCAGTACATTTGCAACTTTCGCTTCTATTTTAGCATGAACTTGACAGTTGCATGTTTTACAAGCTACAACGTGTGAACAAGTACCGGTTCTGCATTCTGCTCAAGGACACCTCAAAAGCATTCGGGGCTGTAGGCGGACACCTCAAAAGCATTCGGGGCTGTAGGCGGACACCTCAGCCATACTGCAGTGATAAAACATTAAAAAGGGGAAAAAATGACTTTGCCACCTTGTTAAGATTCGTATTGTACAGCATTAAAGAAAATCTCTCCAATGCAAGGATGTGTCCTCTAGAGCTTTGTGAGCAGAGAGAAAGCTGTTGTCTACATTCTGGCATCTCAAAGACATAATAAGGTATGTTTCGCATGATGGGCCAGGCAGATCAAACTTTTACTCAGGCATGTTTGACATGACTGCCAGATGGAACAAAATGTTCTGCCAACTCCCAAAAACAAAAACAGTGATGTGGTAGTACACAACACATACCATAAGAAATATATTCTCATCAGAATCCCAATATCTGCGCACCATCAGGGCTAAGACATGGAAATCCCTGGTGGCAAGCATCACAAAGAATACTGAGACCGTACTGTTTTATTTATAAGGCACTCACGGTGTTTTTTTTACCGAGTATCTGAATATAGAATAAGTAAGGACACCTTGAACCGCTGACAGGAATAAAATCCAAAAATTCACTTTTAGAGGCAGATTTCCATACAAGCCTGGTAATCGTGTTTCTAGTTGGAGGAGGTTAGTGAGCGGTGTTCAGGGGCATGGAGAGATGCAGTATCTATCATTACAAAGAGACCTACCACTGCTACATTTACCTGAGCATAAAGCTCCTCAGAAGAGTCTTCCATCACTGGGTCTTCTCCCGGAATCAGACACTTGACCATGAATAGCTGAGTATTTACTTGATTAAATTCCTAGGCCATTTTCCCATTTCAAGGTCTTGCATCACCCTCACTTGCTCTGTCTTGACTATATCAAACAACTTGCAACCTCAGAGTGTTGAGTTTATTTTTCCACTGTCAAAAAAAAATAAATATATATATATATATATATATACTGTCAGGCTTTTGTGTTTTTACCAGACTTCATATTTCTTTGTGACTACAGATGGCGGCGCCATTACCCAGACACTTTTTAAATGGGGTCCAATTGAATGTATTTTTTGGTTAAACTAGACTGTAGGTCAGTTTTCTTTATGTTTCATGCATAGTATGTATCGATCCATTTAAATGTATTAGCTAAATAATAGCTATTAGCTAAGGTCTGACCATTCTCTTCAAAATATACAGAAATATTGTATTTTACAAGCCTACATTAGTGCTACAGTCAAAGCGCTGGCAAGTCAGTGGAATCAATGAAGTCAGTGGAAGGTGAAAAAATATAGGATAATGCGGGTGATTCCTGACATATTGATGCCTGTTGACTGTTGAGTCAAGCAGCAACCATTACCAAAAATCCTGAGGTCACGGAGGAACAGAAAGGGGTCAAAAAAAGGAAGTAAATATGTACGTCCCAACTTCACCTCAACTCTAGTCTGATAACTGATTGGTATCATGCGGGTATTCGGCACTGAGGGATAGATAAACTGCTCCTTTTTCATTTGACCTTGGCCATGTATCATTTTAGTGCATGCTTATCTGATCACCAGAGTGGCTAGTGGCTTTACCTCACCCCTACGTGACTGACTCCATTGCATATATGTTTTCAAATATACAGTATAGTACAAATTAGATTTTCTGTTGACATGGTGTTGTTTAATCAAAGGTCATTCATCTTTAAAACCTGAGTCAAACCCCTGTCTGTCCGTATTCCTGGATGGAGATGGCATCAAGAGTACTTTGTTTGATTGACAGTACGCATAGTTACTAAACTGAAAGTAGCTTCAGTATCTGGCTGCTTACCAAACTAAGAGAAAACCCCTCTGCCTTGATGATGGCATTGTGGATTGCTGCCAAACTTCCAACAATCAATTGTTGCCTCCCGAAAAAGTAAAACTCCTAGCATGCAGTGGAAGGCAAAATTAGAGGAAAAGACTTCAGTAACAACACCATTTATTGGTTGAAAAGAGCAGAGCCGTGGCTTTCTCTGGTGTAAGACTCGCAAGCAACTCTCAGCGCTCTGGGCTAGGTAACGTGTGGAGTTATGCAAATGAGCAGGTTTGAGAAGCCAGACAACTTGCACTTGATTTTTTTTTTTTATCTGTCATGGCATAACCAGCTGTCAGCCTGCCAGCTTGGGAGTAAGCAAACCGTGAACGGCAGCACCCATCACCTGTATCTGTAGCATGGGGCACAATATCATGACCAACATCAACTGAACATCTGGATTATTAATGTTGCTCTGCTTAATGGGAAAGAATAGAAGACCATTGAACATATATTTTGGTCAGAATAGGTTCCCAGTTTATCTACGCACTAGAGCTGCAACTATGAGTCAGTTAATCGATTCATTCGCTAGTTCCACATTGTCAAATATGAGGATTTGATTCTTTTTCTATCTGTATATTAAATCAGAGTCAACTTAAAGGGGACATATCATGAAAAATACCTTTTTCAGTGCTTGTGCACATACATATGGGTAGCTGGAGTGCCTATCATCCCCACAAACTGTGAAATAAGACAAGCCAGTCAGCTTCTTTGTGGACTGCAATGGATCAGAAAACATGTGATTCAACAAGCCAATCAGATGTGGATCCACTTCCTATGTCACACGCAGGCTCATTAGAATGTACCACCCCCCCACGGCTTGAGAACTACCTTTGTAAAGGTGCACCTTGCACAAAGTTAATTACGGGAGGCTTAACTAGACAGGCGTTAAAACGGAGTGTTTCAGGAAAGACAGACAGAATGTTTTTGAACATTAAAGCCTGTAAACATGTTCATTTTCTTACATCTCATTGACCAAATGATTAATTGATTAGATTGAGCAAATAATCAGCAGATTTACAGTATCAATAATGAAAATAATGAAGAGAGGCGCTGTGCTGGCCTCTGGGATTTTACAGTCACCTCCAACTTTACACTATAGGTCTGCCATCTCGAGAGGCTCTGCAGTCACGATTCTACTTTTATGAGATGCGTCCGTAAGGTCAGTGGTTGCAGCGATGCTGTAAACAACTCACACATTTGCATTTACTGGTGGCGTTTTACCACCAGATACGGAGGCCCGGAGGGGACATAACAAGCAGCAGGCTGGACCAAAGACAGATTGTCTTGCTCTTCACAGAACAACAATATCTAGTCGCAGAGCGAAACTCCTCCATCCCTGCTGATCCCCGCTGCTGTCTTGCGGTTAGCTGACAGGGGTAACATCGTTCTGAATGTGACATTAAGGTGCGACGTAAAGGTTTGAAATCGGATTTGAGCAGCTGGGGCCGAGACACATCTTCAGAAATCTGATCAAACTTTCTCAAATCAGATTGTCCATGTGGATATTTCCCATGAACATTTGATTTAAAAACATCCAATGTGATTACTTCAGTGATGATCCAGTAGCATGCCTGAAATCTAAGAGCATTGACAATTGGTGCACAAACTACCTGTAGTTCAGAGTCGGGAAGGCAAAGGACCTGGTGGTGGATTTGTTACAGAGCAAGAAGCAGCTGAGACCTGGCTGTCACTATCCACAACGAGGAGTTGGAGATGAGGCGGCCCTCGAGCATGGAGGTTGCATATCAACAACAAAGTGGACAGATAACGGAGTAGCTTTACAAGAAAGGGTTGACTTTTATTCTCGACGAGGCTCGGCTCTGCAAGAGACTAGTCCGCATGTTCCTGCGAGTAGTTTGCATCAGTCGCTGCCTCAATGCAAAGAGGCCCTTGTTAAATATCTGAGCTGCCTGCAGACAGAACCTGAAGAGACTAAACAAGAGTCTTTGGAACAACAACCCCCCACCAGCTGGCTGAAAGCGGCTACAGCCTATGCATCATCTCATTAAGTTGCAACATAAGAGGTCTAAAGGTCCTGTAAAATGGCCGAAGTGGCCTCTGGCACAGGCAGCCAGAAGAGAAGAGATCTACCGCCGTCTTTGCAAGCTACCCTGGATTGCTTTGAGCGGTTGATGTTCTCATACTTGTTTCTGTTTATTATTCATTATGGATTTCTCGTGTCCAGCATTTCCCTCAGGAGAAGCTGAAGGATTCACAAGGCTCTCCGAGCTGCCGATTGCGTTTTCCTTCTCTGTTCCAGGTTTTCCCATTCAGCCAGACCTCGTGCTCATATATCAAGATCCACTGTGGGCTTTGTTTTCTTTGCTTCTTGATTACTTTTGAGTGAAAGTAAAATGAATACTATATGATACATGTTCTGTACTTGCTTGTTCCTGTACATATGACAACATGTTTTTTGTGTCTGCGCCATTACATGAAACATTGAAGATGTCTTTTGCATCGTTTAAAAAAATGTTTCCTCAAACTTCTATTCTGTTATATGATATTAACACTTAATTAATAATGATGGATGGGGGATTTGAAGGAATAGTTTGACAATATGGGAAATGCTCTCATTGGCTTAATAAAAGAAAGTTCAATGAGAATATGTGCACCACTGTGATATGTGTAGAAACTAATCAAACTAAGCATAGAGTCTGGAAACAGGGGGAACCAGCTAGCCCATCCAACCCTCGAGAAACGAGTTTCAAAATTGACAAGCTATTCCTTTAAAACAACACTTTAAAAGTTGTGTTTAAAAAATGAATTGAGAATTAAATCGATGAGCATTTATCGAGTGACTTTCTGTTCTTCTGAACATGAAGACCCCAAAGCGCTTTACACTACATGCCAACATTCACACACACATCGATACACCGATAACAGAGGCTGCCATTCACCCTCACTCACACGCTGATGGCACAGCCTTCGGGTGCAATTTGAGGTTCAGTATCCTGCCCGAGGACACTTTGACATGCGGGCTGGAGGAGCCGCGGATCGACCCGTCGGTCTTCCGATTGGTGGACGACCCGCTCTCCCTCCTGAGCCCCAAACGCCCCACAAAAACATATTATCACCAGCTCTTAACCAAACAAATATCTGGAGCAAACATTTCATTAAATACTGACAGTGCTGCAATTCAGCAGTGGATGTTGGCCAAGCTTCTGCTGAGTTAATGTGCAGTTTATAGCTCTCAGTCAGAGAGAAGCTCTGAAGGCACAGACCCATTTATCAACTCAGAATTATTCTGAGAAACATAAAAGAAGGCGTGCAATAGTTTGAAAAGATCTTAGCACCAAACACTAAAAAATACCGTCACAATTGACAAAAATGTCAAATAAAAGTTCAACCTTGGTTTGACATTTCGTGAAGCTTTTGATTGAAAGAAGATTTTATTGGCATCCCCTTTGAAAAAGTAGTCCGCTCGCTGAGTACGGAGATCAAAAAATCGTACATCGCAATGGTCTGATAGCAAAAAAGCTATGAAGAAATAACAGACCTCAGCGTGCCGTTATTGACCAATCAGAATCGAGTATTCATCAAAGCTGTGTCATCAGAAGCCTGCAAAAGGAGCACTTACCTCTTTCAGTATTTGGGACTCCCAAATCAATGGTTGGTATTGAAGGATCAGCGTGGTCACTGTAGTACTCTAAAAAGAAGGCATCCTGTTCCCAAGTCTTCTTTATCACCGGAACTAAAGCAAAGGGGAGAAAAATGAATAGTGTTCACCAAGTTTCACAACAAGCAGACCTCTGGTTCTGTGCAAATGGTTATTTCATATTTATGGCTATACGTTGCTTCTCTGATGCTTCCGTCCTGTTTTTGATAAAATGTTCTATTAAAGACGACTGAAGGAATGAATCAACAGAGAGGTTGATTTATTCCCTTTAATAGAAAATAAGAGAGGAAAATATGAAAAAACTATTGTGCGTCTTTAACCAACCCACCTTGTTAAAAGTTCCAGATACCTAAGATACGATAACAGACCTAGGTATTATGTGTATGACACAGATACAGCGTGGAGTGTACGAAACCTTTTGTCATTTGAGGAATTCAAATTTAAATACCTTTAAATCATTGCCACTTAATGTTCCATTCGTGTTATTAATGGTTAAAATCAATAAACCTTTACATCCTGTAAAAAAAAAGAAAAAGAAAAAAAAAAGGTACTCTCTGCAGTTGCAGCAGTTTTTTTTCTCCCCCCCCCGACAGTTTTCCAGTAGATTTGATTGGGGCCTGACTGATGAGATCTGGAGGTTTTGTGATGAGTTTCTGGGTTGTTGAGGCGAGAGTGTACGCGGCGCTGAGAAACACAGAATACCCAGAGATTCGCAGCAGCAGCTTGAGGCTGTGTTCAACTCTCATAAATCAACAAAAGTGAATCCGAGTGGCATATCGAACACCGAAAGAACGAACCAAAGGAGAACAAAAGTTGGGTTGGCTGGCCTTCGCTTCCTCTTATGGCTCTGAACTGAACTCGTGAAGAAAAGTAAGGACAATTAGGCTCTAAATATCACAGTGCTTTTTTATATCGCCACATAGGTATATATACTAAAGTGCATCATGCAGGTCAGACGTTTCCTGCCTGCTGTACTGTAGCAGACAATCAATAGATGTTAAGGATCAGTTTGAAAACACATTGAAACACGCTGCCAACCCACACATCTTCCAACTAAACAACCTGAACGTGGAAAGTGAAACTATATTCCAGACTACAGGTACTGAGTCACAGTAAGACACAAGATATTTTTAAATTCCTTTAAAGCAATTAGTATTTCAGTACAAATGTACCATGTGAATGTACTATATTACTACACTAAACTATACTATTCAACATGCATGTCACAACTTGGAAATTAAGAGTGTAATGAAGCAGAGGCACAGCACTCTTCATTTTTATACACAAGACATTTGTGTTATATGCTTTTTATAGTTTCTTTTATTTAATTTAGTATGTTTTGTCCCAAGTAGGAATTACATTTCTGTCTTTTGTTTTGGTGTTCGGGAGAATATTTGAAAAAGTGTGTTGTGTGCGGATTGTTTTTGATACAATAAAACCCAACAAACCTCTGAGCCACCATAAAGAGAAAAAGAAAAGAAAAACTGCAACCACATCAGATTGTTTAGACCTTTCTTTTTCCAACTCTAATTTCTAAATAGATGACTGCGCCTTTTCATGTCCTTTTTATTGTTTTTGTACTGCTGTGTATAATCACTCCAGATAAAGAAGAAGCAACACTTAGTGACATTGTAAATGAAATACGAGGCGCTTTCATGCCTTTTGCTTCTTGATCCAAGCTAACCGTTGATACATAAATCTGATATTCATTTCATCTTGAAACAGATGATGGCAGCTTGCCAGAGGAAATGGTAATTAAGGTAATTCGTGCAATTACTTTTGAGTGACACTCTTTGAATGAAGTGTACAATTTATCTGATCCCTCTGAAATTAATCTGCAATTTAATCTATTGACTCAACCGGCTACATTTTTATCGGGTTCAAAGAGAAGCAGATTCACAGATAGAGTCATTTCAAGCAAGGCTTGCAAATAAGCCGATTCAAATCAGTAAGTAATTTCTTAATGTCTGCAGGATGCAATTAGCATTCTTTTTATGCCGTAATATTATCAAATCCATTCAGACATAACGGTGGAAAGATTAAACAAAATACTTTACTATGACGATAAGCTAAAGCTCTTTTATAGTCACATGTGTCAAAAGTAAAACCGATCCATTACGAGTAAACAACGAGACAGAAGCATGTGCCATTTTAAAAGGAAATTGTGCATCTTTGGCGGATTCTGTAAGAGTGGGAGTGTGACTTACCTCTTTCACTGTGAAACTTCCTACACGTTTTCACAGCAACAAATATATCTTCTTTATTTACAGGCTCCCCCTTTGATGAAAACAGGAGACATGAATCAGAGAAATGCTCACATGAATATAAATCATTTATGATTAAAACAGAATCTATTTTACTGTGCAACTGTGCAACTGTGCATGCAGCTTAGCCAAATGGTTGAGATTGAGTTTTTCAGGCAATATTCAGTGTCTAAGTGATCTGTGGGAGTTGTTATCTTCAAAGTGAAATTAGAATTGGATATTTCTGTAAATTGTCTGAGGTCATCTGTCTTTGTTCTCCCTCTGAAACTACAGAAAGAGCAGCTGATAACACTGCAGCATGTTTAAAAAGAAATGAAGGACTTTATGCTGAATTAGGGGTACGTTTGCAAAATGTAAAAGCCTTGGGAGTAAAAAGACGAGCAACAAGTGAGACTGGGAAAGATGATGATCTGTGCGCATCTCTGAGCCCTTTGTTACCACATGCAGTGCAAAGCGAAAGAGGCTGGACTGTTTCAAAAACTCAAACAGTCACACAGAGAGATTCACTAAATCAACAACAGACAGAATGCATTAAGAGCGTACGCTACATTAAAAATGCCATCGGCTGCTGCACAAACCATCACTTTTTCAAGGATGTGATGTAAAGTAACGCTTGTGCCCTGATGACGCCTGAGCATCGTAAAAAACAAAAGTTGGAATATAAAAGAACAAAGTACAAATTAGGGCAGCAACTAGTCATTATTTGTCGTATTCATTTCCTGTTAGGAAACAGTTGTTTACTTACATGTGCAGAAGTTATAGAGCAACATATTTTGAGAATCTACAAATGTTGATCATACAGAACATCCAGCTACACTGACAGCACCGTCAGACCCACTCTCATCCAAGTATTACAGGACAGTGTGTACTGTAAGGCTGTTTTTACTCATTTTATAAAAAGACTCATGTCTGATACAAATGTGTGCCTCTGTGCTGAAATGCAGAGAGCAGCGATACCACTATAGGTTTATTGACTGAAATAAAAAGGACATGTTTTGTCCTTTGCCTCCTTGAATCTGCCTCTTGAGGCTTTTGACTCTTTGTTGACGCTGCAGCCGCGTGCCGCTGTGGTCCCTTCTTGGCAAATTTGTCTTGCAAGTGTTTCGAAAAACTGGCCGATTACGATACGTCCCCTCTTGTTTGGTCTGAATGGAAACTTCTCCCTGCATACTTATTAAACCTGTGACCTTCACGATTCTCCACTGGCTGCATAAGTCTTCCTATTGCTGGTGGCAAATGAATGCCATTTTATGAGGATAGTGATTCCACCGGGACATAAAAAATGCATTAATATAAATCTGACAATTCAGACTGCAACATCTAAACCGCATATGCACATGCAGAATGTGATTTGAATCACAAATGAAAAGATCAGATTGGATTTCTTTTCTGGCAGATCTAAGTGGGCAGAATTCTGAGGGAGGGGAACTCAGAATTGGGATAATTTCTGCTGTAGTTCTAGCATCCCAAATTTCACTCCCCTCACCTACTCCCGAGAAAGCTACAGTCAAGCACGCATCCCTGCACGCATCTGTTCTTCTTAACATTATTGATCGTTTTAGTGCGCATGAGGGGTCAACAACTGCAGGCTAACGGATGGCTGACCCTTCTAATCGGCTCCCAGCTAGAGAACACATAATACTGACAATATATATCGGGTGTAATGTGGCAAAGCATGCCACAATAATATACTGTAGCAGTATTTTCTTTCTTTTTACAATAAATGCAAATGCACACTTTGATTTGAAGTAGACTAAATTAGTTATTTTGCACATGACACTGAGAGCACTGTCCGTACTTACTTTGTAACCCGATCATTATGTCTAATGTTGATATCAAAAATAAGTCCGATGTAACTCTAGATTATGGGAGGATGTTGAAGGATGTGGCTTCGTTTCTTTCTTGGCAGATGAATAAATCAAATTTAGCATACAAGCAGAGCAAAAACTCCTGTCTTTTTAGGGTTAATGCACAATGTTCAGCTGAATGTTGGATAAAGGCAATCATATCCAAGGCCGTGCTGCACGGTGAAATATTGGTGGTGCTCCGATGCGGCCGTGAGCATGCCCGAATATCGTACATCAACGCAAGAACTGCCAGCATCTTCAAGCGAAGCGCCCTCTGTTTTATGTTGCTTAATTCTGTTCCCTGACCATCTCCTGGGAATCGAGGACAATCTAATTGATCTGCACACAGAGCAAATGCAGTACTCACACACAGAGGAGGCTTGGTGCTCAGAGCGGTGGCACAGTGGCGGGTCTGAGGGGAGTCCTCCGGCTCAGTGCACAGCTCAGGGACAGCAGTGAGAGGAGGGCCGTTCCCATTGTCCCAGATATACAAAGCAACCTGTAACAACACAGATCGATATTTGATCTGAAGACAAGATGCAATCTTCAAGGCATTAGTGCGTTATTATGAGCATTATAAGCTTTATGTTTTCCGTCTTATTTCCGAGTAAAGACAACAACATTTTCTCTCACAGGAAATGTAATATTTAAGATGCCTAACAAAAGACATAAGGGGATGACGGAGAGGTAGAACTTGAGAGCTAGAGAGTATTACTGTAGAGCAAAGTAAGATCTCGGATTTAAACTATTCTGCAGGGGACGATCTAGACATTACAGTAAGAGAATACGTAATGAGGACAGTAAAATCAGTGCTGTCTGAATATTGGCAACTGTCGGGAAGAATAAGCTACAAAAACCAGAAACTATGATGTTTTGCTGACTTACAGCCAGGAGCTAATCTACTGACAGTGAACTGGATTGACATCGAGGATTCATGCAATATTTGTCTGTACTTTATTTCTACTTGCATGAGGTTGCATGTGTGTGTTGTTGATGTGCTTTGTGGTGCTTGAAGGGCCAACAATCTGCAAAAATATAACTTAATGTTGTTCTAAAACAATTTACCATTCAAAAAAATATCCCATTGCATCTTGTTTTTTTAACATGTAAAGAATATACAGTGCCATAATATAATTGAATCTCTAGGACTGAACTCACGCCATCTCCAGCCAAACCACCTTTTCCAGACTGAGTCTGATAAGTTTGATGCCGTGTTTACCCAACAAAATCCCCATAGATGCCTCCCTGACTGCAATTCAGTGATAAAAATAAGAACCTCAATGCTGCACCATGACAATTCTCCGAAGTAATACGATTTCACTTCAGGGCTAGATGGATTTCATGCCTCGCTCTTTTTTTGTGCAAATAGATTACAGTCAGTCGGCGCTGGCTTGAGTGTGAGAAACAGGCCGCTTGATCGTCGCTTTCCAAAACACAACAGGTCTGAAGGCAACAGTGCGACTTGTGAAGTGTGTTACCTCACCTCATGTTTCAGGTCAATGGTGAAGTCAGATTTCAGCGGCTCATCTCTCACTTTGTTCGCAAGCCTAAAATGACAAATCACAGAACTTGGATACACATATACCTCTCAAATATTACAGCTGTGATAGAACGGAATGAATCAATTTTACAGACACAAACAGGTTTATTGCACATACTCACCGCACAACAAGGGGGGTGCTTATGGCCCAGGCAGCAGCAAAGTCTGGATATTTAAAGATGGAGGGATTCTCTGCAAACGCGTAATGATGAATGATGGTCGACTCCTCGTCATGGAGGGGCTTACCAAGAAACCACTCCTGAGAAATGACAAGTACGTGACAGGATGTTAGCATGAGAGCAGGTTACTTCTCTTTACTTTATGATGTTTACTTTCCTTTTTTTTTTTTACCATTAACATATCAAGCTTCTGGCCCAATTTGGGAGTTTTCACGCTGCACTTGCCAGAAAATCTTTGAAATTCTTTCCTGTGACTAAATTTGTCACCGGCTGTGAAAATAACGAGATTTTGTGATTGAAAAAAGATCAAGAAATACCAGGTAGTGTAGCCATAAAGGCTCTAATCAAAATACATGACATATCTCGAGTAAACAAATATATTTAAAGAAAATACGTACATGAATAGATTCATTTTAAAGGAATAGTTCAACATTTTGGGAAAGTCTCAGTGTGCAAATTTATGTTAGCTTTGG